CCCCCAGCACTCAATCAGTGGAGAACCCGGACCCAGAAAGGACACACCTGAAAAGCTGCTGAATATTCTATTGAGATCTTCCCCTGGGATCTCCCCTAAAATCTACACCTTTAAAACCCTTAGGATGGAGAACCCAGTGCCTCTCCCTCTGCTCTCCCTTCCCAGGCATGCCCCATATTCACACCTTTCCCCTCCTCCTTCCTCTCCCCATCCCTTTTACCTTCCTCACTTCTAAGCTCCAAGGGCCCTTCCTTCCTTTGCCTCTATAGCTTGTTTCCTAAGCTCATTTCTTCCAAGAATTATTTCTTCCAAAATCAAAGATTTTATAAATAAGTGTTCTCTTATAGTTGGAGTCTTGGCTCTGAGTTCTTTCTGGCCAGAACTCAAGTACTGAGGATGCTGAACTCAAGTCCAGTCTAACCCCACTGGTCTAACACCTGGTGCTGTTCCCGCCACCACCAACAAAATGAGGACCTAAACAATATCCCTTAATTTGGGTTCTAATTTTTACTTTCACAGTAATGTAAAGAAAAGCTACAGAAACAAGTTTCTTTGCTGAATTTTTAACATCTTTTTGAATTATAAGATATAGATTTGTTTAATAAATTGAAATGCATAAAAGCTAAAAAACTAGAATTTTATTTCCCAATTTATTATGTGATCTTAGAATTTTTTTTAAACTACAGAAAACACCACAAACTCAGAACAGTTCACCTCTCACTAAAGATCTACCATTCCTTCAGAATACTGCTAATGTGCTAGGAAACACAAAAATGAAGGGAAAATAGAAGTCCTTATCTAAAGATCTGTAAGCTGAGAATATAGGAGGGTATGATCCAATGACAAACTTTCAAAAATAAGCCAGTATTTAGGGGAAATATACCAATGTCTGCAATTTACTTTGAAATGCACCAAAAAAGGTGAATTAATGAAGAAATGGATGGGCACATGTGATAATGTAAGTACAATAAAATGTTCACAGTAAAATTCCTACTTGTCTAATGTTTGCAATTTTTCATAAGAAAATGTTGGGAAAACAAACTAACTAGCTCTCACCTGTACCAAAGGTACACTCAAGTGAAAGTTTGCAACGATTGCGATTTACTATCTCCTTGTCAAGATGCATTTCTCAGTTTGGTTCCCATACATAGTTTTAAAAATCAAGGCAGAAAAGGAGTGAAATGAAATACATTAAGGAATACTTGATGGAAACTTTTATAAAATTAGCATCAGCCTTCAAAGGTGAAAAGAAAAACTGAAAAGGATATACAAACTGACAGCAGGAGAGAAAGATGACTAAGTCAGGAAAACTGGGAAAAGACAGTCGGATAGCAATCTGCATTTCAGGTGGCAGTGAAACACCAGGAGAAAGCTATCAGATTGATATTTTTAAAAATGATAAAAGGAGAGATGATCGACTTTAAAAACGTGGCAGTTAATGCCATGAAATGAGAACGAGCAGGGAAAAGTGCTCTATAAATTATTCTACAAATGCTATTTATATCATTATGAGGAAAATAAAGACAGTACATTACTAAGGTTACCCCTGAAATAAAGGTGTCATGCTATAAATAAATTGTAATCATCAACAAATTACAAGTTATATTAAGAAGTCAGTCTGCATTAATATCTACCGTTTTGGGTAATTTACTATGTGCCAGGCAGTGAGCTAAATGCTTCATGTTGTCTTATTTAAGCCTCATTACATCTCTATTAGTTATTACCTCCATTTAACAGGGAGAAAATTAGGCTGAGTAACGAAATAACTTGCATAAGGTTGCACAACTAGCATGCGATCTAGCCAGGATTCAAAGTAGGTTCTTTAGAGTCTGAAGCCTATTATGTTCTCATGCCTTTTAAAACACTCAGATAATCCTATAACTTCCTGGGCAATCAGGAGCTCAAAATAAAATGACAAGAAACTGCTTCATTTTCAAAATGAAATCAATAAATATTTATATATGCCTACCCTATGTGAAAACATCACTACCTTCAATAACCTTACATTATAGTTAGGGGAAATAGGCATCTATCACAATGTAGATAAATCAAAATTATTTTTAAAAAGAAAACAGGAACAGGGATATTATAAGGCAGTAATCATTAATTACCAAATTCACTAAAGGAGTATAAAGCTACTTAGTGGTAAGGTTTATTTGTTGTTGTTTCATTGCAGAGGGAGGGTTACTGTTTTTGTTTGTTTTACTCCTTACATGAGGATATTTTTTCCATTGCTTTTCACAGAGTGAGAAACATCAATGTGAAAGAGATGACACATCAATTGGTTGCCTCCCGAACCTTCCCTGCTCAACCAGGGCCAGGGATCGAGCCTGTAACCAAGGTATGTGTGCTCTTGGCCCAAAATCGAACCCAAGACCCTTCAGTCTGCAGGATGATGCTCTAACTACTGAGCCAAACCAGCCAGGGCAAGGGTTGCTGTTTTTAAATTATCAGTGCCCTTAATCTTCAGTCTATTTCACTGACCTTCTTCTATATACTTGTCACCACCCAAAATTGCTCTGCCCCTAAAATCTTGAATTCTAATACTTCATTTTCTGATCGTAACACTACAACCCCCTTGTCCATAAGGAAGCAGAAATACAGTAAATGAGAAAAAAGATTTGAAGTAAACTTGAATTCAAATATGAGCTCTACCGTCTCTTAATTTCTTAGGCAAATTATTTAATCTCTCTGGGCTTTGATGTAACATAGGGTTAACAGTGATAGTTAATACCCACATCTCAGGGTTGTGAGTTCAGAGATAATGCATGGCAAGACCCTGGGAAGATGCCAGATGCTTATTAGGCACTCAATATATGTTTCTTCCCTTCTCAGGTCCACCTCCCAACTTTAGGCTTGGAGCCTCCAGTATCATTCCCACCATCCATAACACCCCCACACAGTGTTACTCCCTGCTATAACACAATTTGGACCTTATCCTCCTACTTTTCATTGGTTTCCCTGTCTGTTGTTGGGTAACGTCTGAGTTCCTAAATACAGCATCCAAATCTCTTCAGGGTCTATTCTCCAGCCTCATCTCCTGCCACATTTCGCTTATCCACTAATATCATGCAGTTTAAGCTTCAGGAATAGTGAATTACTGTTAGCATACACCACAGAATTAAAATAAATCCTAACAGCATGCATTTCACATTACAAACACTAAGCTCTTGGGCTACGTATAAAATGACATAGCCATGTTTCTTAGTCTAATGAGAAGGAAAAAGAATTATAATAAACACTTCAATCTGCAACCAGAATGATCTTTAAAAACAAACCTAATCATATTATTCCCCTGCTTACAACACTTCAATAACTTCCAACTACCCTTAAAATAAAGACTTAGGGTCTTTCATAATCTGGAGAAGTCAACTTGCCGTCTTCAACAGATTTGAGCCACACTGGCCCTTTTCAAGTTCCTCAAATGCACTATGCTACCTCACATCAAAATATTCCAACATGCTGTTCCTTCTTCCTGGAACACCTCCTCCCACACCCATTACCACTCCCTTTTCAGATACCAAAATTATTTCCTTAGGAAAAAATTCTGTGAATATTCCCAATCCGTATGTAGATTTCATGGCTCCCTATGCTTAGCCTGTGGAGTCCTTATCACAATTATAATTAATTATTTGTTGGATGTTTGTCTTCCCCAAATAGATTATAAACTCTATAAAAGTTGCATCTTATCTGTCTTGTTCAATGCTATATCCCAGAAACTGGCCCCAACCAGATTTGTTGAAATAATGAATAAATATGTACTGAGTTACCTACTGTGCCATTTTAAGTACTAAACAAAGGGTCACAGTCCTTGCCATTAAATAAATACCTCAGATGGATATAAATATGTAAGTAAAAATGCTTGTTACTTCATCCAATCAAAGACTTTATACACTGTATCTACATAGGTACTAAGGGATTTATCATTTACTCAATGTCAAGAGATCACTAAACTGATTCATAAGGGCTCAGATACCCAGTTCCATTAAATCTAAGTTCCTGCTTTTAACTGCCCAGTAAACAGAATAATCTTTGTTGAATGATTCCAAGAGTGCAGAATTAACCACGAAGTCTTTAATTGCATGCTTTAGAAATAAAAATCTAACATTTCTACTAGTGTGAATATAGAATAAGTAATATTCCCACTTAACAAAAAAGACAAAGAGTGTATGCCAATTACATCTCAATAAAACTGAAAGAAAAAGAAAAAAAGGAACAAAGGGAATAATGGTCCAACCTAATTTCCCACCATCAAATTAGTATTTTTTTAAAGGATTTCTTGACCTGTTCAGAGCTAGGATAAATTACTCTGTTTATTATTGGTAACAGAATCCTCCCCCTACTCTTTTTTCTAGGAATAAAATCTCCAAAATGATAATAGTTTGAAACAGTTAAGGATATAGGATAAAATTGTTTTACAGAATACAGGGAGACTGATGGTCACAGTCTCCCTGTATTCACAGTCATTGCATCGGTCATTAGGTAGTTTCCCCTACCTAATGACTGGTACAATGAAGCTTAAAGACTTGATGTGCAACTTCACTTGTAATCACATGGGTGATTCCAGTAAATGTCAAAACAGATAATTTCAAATAATCAATATCATTGGTACTCGAAGGCCAACATACCTTACAAGCCCATTGACTTCCTGTTTTAAATACTTTAAAAAATAAAATGCATATCCTTTATAGAAACTTCAAAAATATAAAAAAGTATAAAAAAGAAAAAATCCATAATCCACAGCTTCCTTTCAGTCACATCCTTCTAGTCTTTAAAATGTGCTTTTGATAAGCCCATAAAGATTTTCATTCAGGATTTGAAAAAATTCATGTCACCATTCTAAACAGTGTTAAACAACCAACACAATCTGACCAAGGGACAGAATTAACTTTTACATGTAAATATATAAAATCACCCCCCACACACCCCTCTCACACTCCTACCCAACCCTCCAGCTCAAAACCCTTCAGTGGTGTCTCATCACACTTGAAGTAAAATCCAAACTCCTTGGCCATGATCTGATCCCTGCCTACCTCTCTGATTTTACATTCTTTGAGCACACCGGCCTTCTTGCAATTCCTAAACATCACAATCAAATTCTCACCTCAGACCCTTCTCACTAATGTTTCCCTTTGCCTGAAATAACATACTCACTCCCTCACTTCACTCCAGCACTTGCTCAGCCATATCTGCTCAGAAAAGACCTGACACCTTATCTAAAATAGTATCTTTTCCTCCCAATTACCTGCTTTAATTTTCCATCACTTCCCAAAATATTTATGTTACTTGTGTATTATTTGTCTTTTATGGAACGAGACTATAAGTTCCATAAGAACAGGGCTGTGCTTTGTTCACCACCTGGAACACACTAGGTGCTCAATAAACATTTAAGTGAATAAATATATGAACAATTTTGAGGGGGAAGTTTGACTAAGTACTTACTTGATTGATCTGCATAAGTTCTCAGAGGTACTGCAGAAACTCCCTGTAGGCCATGAGATACTCGACTGAAATGGCCTCTCTGGAAGAAAAAAGAAAATGTCCCTATTATGTAAACAAAGCACTACTGAAAGTCGATGAAAAATAATGATTTTGAGCAAATTTATCAAGCAATAAGTATTAACGTATCTTCCATTGCCACCCAGAGGTTACGTATCAATTTCTCCTAGTTGATAACAGCAATTATTTAAAGTTTTCAACCTCAGCTTACCAACATTATCTTTTTATTATAAATATTCAAACATCTCATGTTTAACCTAATAAAAATGTTACTCAATAATGTTAATTTTTATTAAATTTTCAGAAAGCATGGCTCACTTATGTGCCAGGAATCACTTTAACGTCAAAATTAAAGTTCTTCAAGTTCTAACCTAAGTACCTGAGTAATCTACATTATGACAATCCTTCTACTCGTAATTATTGTTTCCTAACTCAAATCTACCACGTACAATCTGTGAAGAGATTCCTGAATCATCAACTAGCGAAAGAAAATTAGACGTAGTAATTTAGGAAAAAGTACTAAGTAATGTATTCATATTCAAGAGCTACTGCAATTTTACAAACTGCATCATAATCTCCACAATCTCTAAATATGGATGACTACTATTTCCAAGAACAGCGAAGCACAAAGAAACAAAGCAAATATCTCCAAAACAGAGGCAGTGAAGAAACCTACAATGATCTAGCAATGTTCTCTATTCCAAGGCATTTCTTGCACCTGGGGTCATGCAGGTAGAGCAAAGAAGAGCAGACTATATCTCAGTTCAGAGTTTTAGTCCGAGCTCTGGACCTCACTAAACTTTCGAGAACACAGGCTACTCATCTTCGAAACAAAGGATGATCTGTTTCATCCTTTATAAAATGGCCCCAAAGTAACCTGACCACTGCAGAGGAGTTAGGCCATTAGGGACCGAGATTAGGAAAGGGTAGAAGGTATGAAAAGCCAGACCGACCATAAGGAACAAGGGCAATTTCTGCTTCCTCCTCCAAGGTGGAGAGGCCTTTGTGTGACCGCATGCTCCATGGCCCTGGGAGGGTGAGCGGAGTGTGTGGGACTCCTGTCACAAACCGGCGGAGCCTCTGCAGCCCCGGCCTTTGCGTCCGAGCGGCGGCCTGGGCAGAGCCGGTTCAGGGGCGGAGCTGCGGGTGGTGCCACAGAGGCCGCCGGCCTCTCTCACTCCCACCAGTCAGGCGGCGTCTCGGACCCCGTCAGCGGGCTCTCTGTGCCTTCGGCTCAGCACGACCCCACCCAGTCGGCCCTCACCTTGGCCAAAGAACAGTATACACGACTCCAGCTCTGCATTTTGCCGCTGTACTCTCCTTTCCGCCAAGGCTTTCACCTCCGCAGAACCCCTCCACCTCCTCGCCAAGGTCTACTCGCCCTGCGCATGCACAAGCGCAGCTTGCGTCGTTAGTCGGAAGTAGTGCGATTGGCCAACGCTGTGCGGACCCGCAGAGAAAGCCGTTCCTTTCCGGCTCGGCGTGGTTCACTGTCGTAAGGAGCATAGTGCTTTGTGGCAGCAGGGGATTAAGGGACCTTTTTGGCGGGGGATGTCGGGAACTGCGATGTGGGCTACTACTTGGAAGGCGAGATAAATAAATGAAACCAGCCTTTGTTTAATGCACGCTAGGGAAAGTAAAGCTTGCTGAGTTTTTGATTGTTTTAGGCTGGGGAATCTAAGAACTTTCTGGGCGTTACCTCGTTTCATCTTTACAACAATATAGTGCGTGAATTTTCAACCTTTTTCATCTCAGAGCATAAACTAATTGCTAAATTCTGCAGCATGTCAAAAAATACATATAATTTTGACTCACTCACACCAGACCACTACTGTTGTGTTGGCTGTTGTCATTTTTTTCATTGACAATCTGAGAAAAGAATTCAGTGCCCCCAACTAAAACAGGCACCACAGCCCAGCCGGGGGTGGCTCAGCGGTTGAGCGTTGACCTGGGATCCAGGTGATCAGGGTTCGATTCCAGTCAGGGCACATACCCGGTTGTGGGCTTGATCCATGACTCTCTCATCATTGATGTTTCTGTCTCTCTCTCTCTCCCTCTCCTTTCCTCTCTCTGAAATCAATAAAGATATATCTTTTTTTAAAAAGTTTTAAAAAAATAAATAAAATAGGTACCACAGGTTTTAAAAATTTAAGCACACCAGTTGAGAATCTCTGATATAACACACGAGGAGTATTTCAACTTCTTAGAAGAGGCCCTGAGTTTAAACAATACCCCCAAGGTCTCACAAGGGGAAGACGATTGCAGCTTTGAGGGCAAAGCCCTTGGTCTCAACCACTGCTTTAAAACACCCCCCAATCTAATGCCACTCGAGGGGGAGGGGGCCACAGACTGGCATCACCAGCATCTTGCTGTAAGTAAGCTAACTGGCAATATGGAAAAAATAGTCTCCTGCCTCCTCAGCTGGGAAAAAAACCTCCTTGGTATTATAGTATAGTGTGAAGCCAGGAAAATTCCAGGACACGCAGAATAGGGAAACTAAGACATAATTAAACAGCAGTTTTGTGGCCACCTAGTAAATCCTATCTTCCATAAATCAAGGACACTTAGGAGTAAATAGTTTGCATTTCTCCTCCCCAGCCAGAGAGTGTATAGCTTAAACCACCCTCCTCAGGGAGACAGATAACAGAAATCCAATTAGTGCCATTTGCCAACCACACTCAAGGACAAATGAAATTAAGAGAGTAAACTCATTTTGGTACATCAGCATAAAGCTGATGAATATTCTATTTTCAACTGGAATTTCTTTCTGATGACCATAAATGAGGGCACCCTAAAATTACCTCAAACCATTAGTTCTCCCTTTTACTAGCTACTACGTTATTTACATTAAGAACCTTTTTGAAAAACTCTCCTCTGTCTACAAAACCCCATAGCTTCTCTGGACACACTAGCTGTATTTTCGTTTTCTGCTCCTTTGCCCTGGTTGAGCAGAATTGCCTGCGCCCGGATTCCTAGGCATATCCCACCCCAACCAGGTCTGTGGAGACACCTGTCACCTGGTAAGGTTTCACTTCCCATCTTCTGAGGTTATGGTGAGATTACATGATCTCATCCCTGCTAGACTGATAGGGGCACTTAAAATATCCAAGGATTGAGCACCTGAATTAATCTGAAATATAATTATATTACTTACAAAATTGTAGAACACATATACTTATGTGAGCAGGGATTTAAGTTTCTTTTTCCTTAAGTTTGTTTTTCCTAGGCCTTTATGCCTGTATACTCCCCTTGACTCTAGACAAAGCAGTTAAGGAGGTGACACAGCTATGGACCATGTATCCTTGAACAGGCATGGTCAGGCCTCAGGCCGGCCCAACCAAAAGTCAAGATATTATCTTATTGAGACATCGACAGATGACCAAGAACAATAGCTGACTCCTGCAGACCTCCGGGGCTGCACTATAACTGCATTCTGTTCCCAGTCTCAGTTTACCCCATTTCCTTATATAATTCTATCTCTCAAGCCATTCCCTAAGACAGGTTTTGGATGCTCACATGCTCCCTGTCTTCTTGGTTGGCTGGCCTTCTCAATAAACGACTTATATAATTCAACCCTGCCTCTGTTGAATTGGATACAGCAACAGGCAGCCTGAACCCCACCGGGGTTTCCCAGTAACAAGACCTCTGAGACGTCAGACACTAGCCCTTGAGCACTGAGATTCCAGGCTCGGGAATTGATCCCAGGATGCTAAACTCTCTAATTCCTAAGCTCTCTAATTCCTAAGAAATTATGATGAGATAACATGGTACCCTCTGTGTCTCATCCCTGCTAGGTGGCTGAGACATCAAAAGCTAGCCCTTGAGCACTGGCATCCTAGGCTCTGGAATTGACCCCAGGACACTGGGCTCTCTAATACCTAACCTTTTCTTCCTTCTAGATAGAAAATCAACAATCTATACCTTACGGGAGTCCCCTGGCCTGTATATTGGCTAATGGCAAATTTCTGTTGTCATTTGGTCTGGCCACAATATAAGGTCCCCAGTGGGGAATCATGGCCTCAGAACAGGAGCATTAATTATAATGCTGTTATACCTGGCCTTTGTGAGATTAGTTCACACTGAGCCCAAAGTGACCGTTTGGAGATTTATTAGCCTGTGACTGTGAGCAGGCTCCTGCCCTGAACAAATTCGCAGCCCCAAACAGTCTTCCCAGGAAGAATATAAAGGCAAAAACTATATCCTGGTTGGCATGGAGAGGGGTGGGAACCTAGTTAAGCAATGTACAGAAGCTAAAGTAAGCATTGTTTAACTGTTATGGTTGGCTATTTCCTGACACTAGCTTGTAACTTTTTGTTCAGGGTTATAGAACAGGGTTGGCAGTTAGATTAAAAATGAGGGTTACATGCTCCATGATTAAAAATGAGAATTACAGGTTTCAATGCCATTCTCCAATTGAATTTATAATGCCACCGCCTAGGTAAATGGTCTGAGATGTCCTATCTTCAGGCTTTTTTTGAGCTTCAACCCATCCTGAACTCTGCTCCTCCTGTCATATCCTCTATGCCTCCACCTCTAGGCCCCTAAAACCTAGAGAAACACCCTATTTTGCCTTCCCTACTCACCCCCCCCCCCC